TTGTTATGCCCTTTCTAGCATACAAACAATTTCTACATATTTTAACCCAAGTATATTTTTAAATAAGTGAAATATATTTTTCAAATAGAACGTGTGATTTTTAAAATAAAAAACAAACTTTCCTCATACTCATGGCATAGTTCCAAAAAAGTTAGCTGTATTTCAAGGAAAAACTTAACCTTTGTGTGAGGAAAGAATCGGCTCTTTCGGATCGGAATGTTGGATCAGAGCAGCGGCGGCGTGTGGGATGGATAAAGATTTCAAGTTTATTATTTGCTTTATGATTTCTAAAACAGGTAGCATTCGAATTTTAACTACGAAATTTATATTAACATATTAATGAATTATATGACACCAGCGACCCGCCCCGGCTTCGTACGGGTGCAATGTATTGTACATATTAATCTTCCTCTTGAATCACTATCTAATACACACCGTATTAAGATCTGTTGCGTAGTTTTAAAGATCTAAGCATACATAAGGATGGACAACTTTGTTTTATACAGAGTAGTGACGATTATCTAGTAATACTGAGAAAAATACTTTCATTAAGAGGAACTTATTATTAGCAGCAATGAACTTTTAGACGCTAAATCAATTTAGCCAGTAATAAATAAATGTATATTTATTTGTGCTTTGATTTCGAATTTTCTTATTTACCTCTAGAGTCTAGATCATGTTGGGAAACGCATTGTTTGAAAGATTGGGTCTGTCAGTTTCTTTTTCCTCGTTTCGTCCATAATCGGATAGGGCTTTAAATTTGTACCGCATTGGTAATAATTTCCAGCCGTCTTAAATTCATTCATCCAGGTTGAACCAATTGCAGCATCGGATCCTATAATAAATCACCGCCGTAACTGCTCCTCTGAAGTGTCCCTCTCTTGTTTATGTACTCACATACGCAACATAGCCAATTGCAACGTTTTCTTTGTCGCTTGCCATTAATCACGATGCATCGGAAATTCCTTTGTGTTCTAAGTTAATGGGATAGTTAATTTACCGTTATTATAGTTATTTGTCCCCTCAACACTGTATTGTGTGGAACTTTACGGAAGCTACGGTGTATTCCCAGTTAATTGGATTTTGAAGTTACTTTGATTAACGGTTGCTTCCTAGTGGCACTGATAATCCGAGCTACTTTCAATTTATAAAGATATTAATTTTGAAAAATGATGTGGCGGTGTGTGGCTAATAACGTTACTACTAGTCTTAAATTAGTAATTTTATTTTAGTGCTCAGACTAGTCCATTATACCACCATGATAAAATCAGTAAATAATCACCACCGACTTTCTCAGGAAAGGGTAGGCCTAGCAAGTTGAAATTTAATATAATTGAGGTCTATCCATATTAATATTATAAATGCGAAAATAACTCTGTCTGTCTGTCTCGTTTTCACGCCAAAACTATTGAACCGATTTAATTGAAATTTGGTGTAGATAGTCTATATATGATCTAGAATCGTCAGGTAATCATACTTCAAATAGCTTTTGTTTTTGAAGTGAAACTTCTTTATCGGGGTTGGAAAAAAATTTAGTGTAACATTTTTCCGTTACGCGCCATCTTTTCTTTATCTTAAAATGTTCCTCTAACGCCATCTAGTGTTGAATGGGGGGTTTTATGTCGTCTTTATTCTTTAGTGGTTTTAGTAGTTGACGCTAGATGGCGTTAGTTCCTTAGTGTGTTCATAGCAATATATGTTATATTAAAGTGATCAGCAAAATCAAAGGGTTTATTTTAAATCTAATTCTAAAGTGTAAACAATATATTTCGTATTTCAGTTACCATAAGCCATTAATAACACAAATATATAATAACGACATCAATGATAGTAATAATTCTATTACAATTAATGAAATTCAATAAAAATCTTTGTAGTAATGACAGTGCTAGCTCTAATACTTCAGAGCACGACACTGTGTCGACTTCCTCTTCTCCAAAGGCAGGCACCGCCCACCGTGACCGGACTGCGCCTTCCACCGAAGACACAATCTGAAGCTGACCGATGATGCTCTTCGAAGCCTCGATCGGCTCCTGGAACTTGCAGTTGCGACGTCGATCCAACGTCCGCAAGTTCGGTTTTCCAAAAAAACTTCACTCACAACACTCGCGCGCGAGTCGAATGTCTGCCTTTTACTCACTGGCCTACTTTTCGGCAACAAAGGACCATGTACAAATTCAAAGCGGTTGTATTTTGGGTCCGTGAGGTTAATTGAACACGTTGCAAGTTTTTTAATCAACAATTTTTGCGGACCCTCATACTAAGTACAACGGTCAAACCATAGTGTGTTTTAATTTATTACTAACGCCACCTATGTATTACAAATAAGAAACTAAATATTTTACAAAGATTAAATTAAATAATTGTAGACTTTGTATTTATGTCTATGATAATAAAAGCCTTTTATTAAACTTTATCTAATTTAACTTTATTAAATCAATTTCTGTAAAGTTGCATATAGTAAATTATTTTTTGAAAAATAACGTCAAAAAAAGTTTCACTTCTTACGAGTGTACGCTAGTACACGCACACATTTTTTTTTTCAATGCAATAAACATCTTAAAAACGTAGACACAATCAACATTTCGTAGTTTCCTGTTTCCTAGTCCAAAATTGGATCAACTTAGTTAGTTTTCATTAAAAATTGGCAGGTTGTTCCGGTGTTTTGCTTTTTTTGTACAATTTCGTCACATTGGTTTGCTAGATGTCTGGAACGTGGGTCTGGGAACAGCCGAAAGTCTGGAAAATTAATTAATTTTTTGAAGGTTCATATCAGTTACCGTATATGATACGAACAAAGAAAAACATAGAGACAGAAAAATACGGACCATTGATCTTTAGAAAAAAAAAATATTGCTCTACTGACTTCGTCTATGGAGGAAATAGGGCACTAATATGAATCGGGGAATCAACATGCTCTGCGTTTATTTAAAGTTACATATATTCGCAATCTGAACTTTGTCAAACTTACACGTAAATTGTTTAGGATTCAGCGATGCTCGTCTACAGACATTGTTTCAGCAGTTACCACTCGTAGGCAAAGTTATCTAAACAACTCATAACAGAGACAGTGATGGCGGTCAGTGTCGCTGACGGAAGTTGGTGAAATGCGGGCAATAGCTGCGGAATTCTCGCTTACGTACTGCTTTCCTTGAGAGCGCTAGAAAAATATTGATTTTGCCCCAATTTTCCTTACTTATTTTTTATCAGCCGTCGGATAACCAGCGTTTAAAGATCCCTTAATATGCATTACTGGTAGTACAGTCCAAACAGACCGCAATGCTGCAAATCGTTATTTTTTTTTAGTACTTGAAGTTAAAAGGTTTTTAAGGGTTGGAACTAATATGTATTTTCGAATACATAAATCAATATTTGTTAACTTTTTTAATCTATGAGCAAAAAGGATTTGCTTTTAATGCATACTGCATTTGAACGGAAATAACTGTTGTAATCTATACTCAAGACATCAAAACGTATGATCATCAATAAATAAACCGTACATGGCATCGTTCTTTGATTATATTCGAAAGTTAATCAAAACATTATTCAGTTACTTCATTTGTATTTTCCGATTAGTAATTTTTTCCGATATAAAAATGCATAAAAAGTGACTGACTTACAAGATTATAGTGTCCGCTTACATTTGTCATTTTGGTCTTATTCCATTTTATACATTTCATATTTTATCTGTGGTAGGGCCACACAGCCGCTTCTGCTATTGCACGAATGAAAGGGAGTACGTGGTACTTCACACGGCTTCATAAAAGACCGGAGTGAAGTGGTAGTATTATACTTTCGCGGTTCAAGGAACCGTCCATGCCACGCAATGTTATACTATCCGGGCCTCGAACTTCATCATCAACCGTGAATTCTAGCTGAAAAGAAGCATGAGACACGTCAGCTGTTGTTGACCTATTAAGTTTGCTGTTATCAGTCAACGTTTAAAAGTAACTGTATTATTTGTACTCCATTATATGCTCTTTGTTTCTTAGGGAATGGTGCTGGCATGCCCAGTGTTCGCGTGTGCGGCAATCAGTTATAAAGTGGCGCTTTCTTATGGATGGAACAAAGTAGAAACCGTTTGTAAGTAACCTACGTTGTGGCAACAAGACAACTACGAAACTAACAACCATCTGTCCACAAAGAGAAACGGGAAAGATACGGAAAATCAACGTGCTAAAGTCATATGCATTACGCATAATTTTTTAGTAATGAAGCTACAAAAAAGTATGCGTGTACTTTTGCACGCACTAAGAAGTTATACTTATTTAGTGTAAAAACATTAAATGCGATTGGTAACGGTTTATTTAAAATAGGCATTTATGCATACATGTATTTAGTATGTATCACTATAAATAATCAGGAACAGTTAAAATAACAGAGCGTCCACACTTGATCAACGTTTATTTCGTTAGTCACAAAAAATTTTAAGCTACCATCAAATTCATATAATTATTTAAGCGCCTACTTATAATTGAACAATTATAGTCATTGGCACAAGATTGCTATTTTAAATTACAAGTTTTGTTACATTGTTAACATACTTTACACCCTACCACTAAAATACATTATTAAATTAAGGCTAAACTAAGTTGTAACTAAACAATAATAAGTAAACACAAAATAAAAGAAAAAGTAAACAGAATTCCTAATAACTAATATAAACATAATATACTTGCAACCCTAATACATTATTGGATTGCCAAATCTTTCAACTGGTTTCCTAATACGTTTAAGCGGTATCGTATCTGAGTTTTCTGGTGGGAGGGATCGTGATGGTACGTCACTATGTAACTCGGAATTCACTAACGGGTGTGTGGGCCAGAAAATACGTTGTTCTTCCGCCTTGGACACAACATTGTCGCTTCGACTGGGATTCGCCGATAGTACCGTTTTATGATTTGTGCGTAGTTGATCTACATGGCGTCTGATACATTGCCCATCTTCTGTTTCTACGATATAGTATCGAGATCCTATCTTATCTCTTACCCTACCACTTAACCAATTTTTGTTTTGCCGGAAATCTCTTGTCCACACTGGGTCTCCGACTTGAAAGTTTCGTTGGGTGCCCCTTGCATTTTCAACTTGTTTTCTTTGTGCCTCAAGGACTCTTTCTTCAGTAGAGCTACCTATTTTTGGAATACGCAGTAAATCAAGCCTCGATCGTAGTCTTCTGTGTAATAATAGTTCTGCTGGTGACTTTCCTGTGGTGTTATGTATTGCATTCCTATATGTAAAGAGGTACGTTTGAAGAGCTAAATCAATATCACAGTTCTCTCTTATAGCTTTTTTCATTGCCCTTTTACACAACTTAACGGCGTTTTCCGCAGCACCATTAGATGATGGATGATAAATAGGCGTGAAAATATGTTCTATACCATTATTCTTCATAAAGACCGAAAAGTGTGAACTTGTGAAAGGTGGCCCGTTGTCGGACACTACTTGTTTTGGTAACCCAAAACGTGAAAATATTTCTCTTAATACTTTTATGACATTACTTGTTGTAGTATGAGTCATGTGAAATGCTTCTATCCACTTCGAAGATGAATCAACTATAACTAAAAATGTCTTCTCCTTGAATGGACCTAAAAAGTCAATATGTAGTCTGCTCCATGGTTCTGGGTCATAAGGCCAAGGCTGTGGTGTCGCTCGTGGTGGTGCTGCCGCCTCTGACGAACACGCATGACAATCATGACATGTCCTTTCAATATCGGCATCAATTCCTGGCCACCATACGTAGCTTCTAGCCAACCCTTTCATTTTTACAATACCCATGTGTCCCACGTGTAACTCACGTAAAATATACTGTCTCAGGGACTCAGGGATTACCATCCTGTAACCCCACATGATACAATTCGAATCCAAGTAGAGTTCATTTCTTCTTGTAAAATATGGTTGTACTTCCTTTTCTGAGCAGTGTCCGGGCCATCCCGATTGCAAATACATAATAATTTTCCTTAGTATGGGATCAGATTTATTTTTCTCCGAAACTTGTTCAAATGTTATTGGCAAAAAATCTTGTACATAATGTACATAGGTTTTTTCACATTTTACGTTTCGTGGCTTTCCGATAGGTAGCCTAGATAAGGCATCTGCTCCATTCCTGTTTGTAGGAATATATTCGATCTCATAATTATATCCTGACAATATTATAGCCCATCTTTGTAGACGACTTGCGGCCATGGTCGGGATGCCTTTTTTTTTCCCCAAAAATTGCTACTAATGGTTTATGGTCGGTGCACAATAAAAACTTACGACCGTATAAATACTGGTGAAATTTTTTTACACCAAATACAATTGCCAGTGCTTCTTTTTCTATTTGCGAGTAATGCCCCTCCGCTGTATTCAGTACACGAGACGCGTAAGCAATGGGTCGCTCGCATCCATCGACCATTCGATGCGAGATTACAGCGCCGATTCCACTAGAGCTCGCGTCTGTTGTCAAAGTTATCGGCAATTCAGGATCGTAGTGTGCTAACACAACGCCGGATGTTAATATACTCTTTACCTTATTAAAGGCTCGCGTACATTGTTCGGTCCAAATAAATTGAGAATTTTTTTTTAACAAATTATAAAGTGGTGATAAAATCATGCTTATATTTTTAACAAATTTGGCATAATACATTACCATTCCCAAAAAAGATCGTAATTCGTTAATATTGGTAGGTATACGTACATCTTTAATGGCTTGCACCTTATCTTTACACGTGTGAACCCCTTCTTTACTTATTACAAAACCTAAATATGTCACTGAGTTTGCAAAAAATGTACACTTTTCCTTCTTCACTTTTAGCCCGAAATACTTTAATCGTTCCATGACCTTGTATACCGTATCTAAATGCTCTTTATCATTTTTACCAGTCATAATAACGTCGTCCAAAAAAACTCCTACCCTAGGCATATCAGAGAATATTTGTTCCAATGTTCGTTGAAAAATACCGGGGCTGGATGAGATTCCGTAGATCAGTCTATTATATTGGTACAGTCCCTTGTGTGTCGAGATAACCGTATATTTCTTTGAATTTTCATCTAGTTTCTAATTGCGCATATGCCTGAGATAAGTCTATTTTACTAAATTTTTGGCCTCCATGTAACTTTGTTAATAAGTCTTCTACTCGCGGAAGAGGAAAACGGTCCACTTCTAAGCACTTATTAATAGTAACTTTATAATCACCACAAATTCTTAATGAGCCATCTTTTTTTACCACGGGTACTATAGGCGTGGCCCAGTCCGAAGTCTCGACCGGCGTGATAATGCCCTCACGTTCCAGACGTTCCAGCTCTCGGGCCACCACCTCTCGCATCGCGTAAGCCAGCGGCCGTGCGCGTCTGAACACCGGTTGCGCCTCCGGTCGCACTCGCAGTGTCACCGTCCCACCAGTAAAACGACCGATACCGTCAGCGAAAACTTCAGAATATCTGGAAAATATAGTTTCCGTATTGAGTAAAAGTGAACTCTCCACCTTATTACTATTACATTGTATAGCATGTAAACTAATGCCTAATTCTTGTAACCACTGTCTACCGAGAAGCGGATTACTTCCACTGTGCACAACAAATAAATCTAATTTCATACATTTATCGTTATATTCTACCATTGGGGAAATTTTTCCCACCGGAAAGATTTTTTCTCCTCCTGTATAATATCGCATTACTAAATTGCTTGTTAACAAAGGTAAATCAAAAAACATTTTTTTATAACATTCGTAACTTACACATGAAATGGCGCTACCTGTGTCTATTTCCATTTTTAAATATTTACCGTTTACCTTTAAAGATAATGTGTACGGTTTATAATGTTTTAAATTTTTTATATTGAAAACGTTAAAGTTTACCTCCCTAATTTCTTCATCGGTGTCCTCTCCACTCGAGGTTTCTTCAAGTCGTTTCACCGGCTGGGCACACACCTGGCCTGACCGGTATTTTGGACACACCTTCATAAGGTGCCCCTCTTTATTGCACACACGGCATGTGTACAATCTAAATTTGCACGTTGAAGTACTATGCTGCCGACCGCATGCTTGACATCTAGCCTGCTTCTCTCTAACTGGTACCAAAGCTGAAGTGCTCTGCCGTGCAGCTCCACCTCGGGTCAATCGGCCACTGCTAAACGAAGAACGATTTGGTGTTGCGGCTACCTCTCGTTCTGTTGGCTGTCTGCTGCGCGCACCTTGTGACTTCATTAGCTTCATTGTGGTACTCTCTCTCTCTGTTATATATTCCCGATCGTGATTACTCATTACTGCAGTCGCATTCTTTGCTGCTGCTTCCATAGATATAGCGAGCTGATATACCTTCGCAAAAGTCGGAGTACTCTCGCAACTAAACACCTGCTGCCTTATAAATTCGTTCTTGATTCCACAAGCAAATTGATCTCTTAAATTATCGTCTAAGCAGTCTGTAGTGAATTCACAGCTTTTTGCTAGCTTTTTTAAATCTGCGGCATACTCGGCTAGAGATTCGTTCTGTAACTGGTTTCTTTGTCTGAACTTATACCTTTCTACTAAAATAGTACATTTTGGTTGCAGATGATTTTTCATGATGGTCACTAAGTCATCAAAAGACTTTGCAGCCGGTTTTTCCGGCATGCACAAAGTTACCAAAAGATCATAACTTTCTGATCCCATAATTGTTATTAATGTGGGCACTTTTAATGATTCTTTAACGTCATTCACTATAAAATATTGTTCGAGACGTTCAATGTACAAAGTCCAGTTATCCACATTTACATCGAACTTTTCTAATTTTCCAATAGACATTTTTACAAATATATTAAACACTCACGTGGATCGTAAAAAATAACTCGTCGCCAGTTAGTATGTATCACTATAAATAATCAGGAACAGTTAAAATAACAGAGCGTCCACACTTGATCAACGTTTATTTCGTTAGTCACAAAAAATTTTAAGCTACCATCAAATTCATATAATTATTTAAGCGCCTACTTATAATTGAACAATTATAGTCATTGGCACAAGATTGCTATTTTAAATTACAAGTTTTGTTACATTGTTAACATACTTTACAGTATTAAGTCCTTTCCCTTCACAAAAGAAAAACCATGGGGCGAGAATCAATAAAGTCTTTGAAGGCGGTTTGGTCTGCCGCATCGGAGTTGATTTTTTTTATCGTGAAGCAGTAATGGCCTAGAGCTATTGACTAATCTCGGTTGTTTAGCAGCTATTTCTCCCGTCACGGTTTGCAGTTGCTGACAATAGATATCGGCCGTAATCGTTTGTCCAGATTTTTGAAAGCTGTAGTCAACGACGCCGGCGCTAGTCTCACAAGTAACTTTTTCTGAGTCAATTTCCGTTTAGGGCAGGCTTTACGGTGGTAGGGCCACGCAGCAGCCTCGGCTGTTGCACGAACGGGCAGGCCCGTCCGGGTAAGTACCACGACCTCACAGAAGACCAGCGTAAAGTGGAAGTATGACAAATACTTTCGCGTTTCGTCTGGTGAGTGAGGTAGCCAGAGCCCAATTTTCAAAAGGTTGTCAACGCATCTGTAACCCTCGGGTGTGGCAGATGTCCATGGGCGGCGGTATTCACTTAACATCAGGTGAACCGTCTGCTCGTTTGACAACTTTTCGCATAAAAAAAAAAAAATTGGCTGGTTCATCAATTGTGACGAGCGCTTCCGATTATCGTACAGTATCCACTTTTCATCACAAGTAATTTCGATTTAAAATACCTTCATTATTGTGTCGGTTGAGCAAAGTAACACAGCAGTCGACGGGTGTTTGCAAGTTCGATTCATTCAATTCATGAGGTACGCATCGTTCAAGTTTTTTTAGGTCGAAATTTCCAGAACGAAAACGTTGATACAAAAACATACCGTGCTTTCTTTTGCGACACCAGCGCCATCATTAATACCGCTGTTTCTGCAGCACTGGTGCCACGGTAGAACTCGTACATATTTACGAGTTTTTGACGACCCGAATGGCGTAGTGGGTAGTGTACCTGCCTCCTGCGCCAGGTAAAATATGTATAATATGTATTTATTTACTAAAGAAAAGTGTGTTTATAAGTTTTCTAGTACCCATAGTACAAGCTTTGCTTAGTTTGGGAATAGAAAATGTTGTGTACAAATGTGTCCTAAATATTCATTTATTTATTTTTGTACGGTAATAAGCGACGTGAAAGAATAAAATAATGAGGAAGAACCAAATGAATGACTTTTCAAAACTCAGCTAAATGAATTTATAAATTTAAATTTGCAATTATTAACCAAAAAGGAGCATATTTAAGATCAAAGTGGTCATTACGACAAAACACTGAATTTCATATGCAAGGACCTAATGTTAGCTTTACTTTTTTATCGAACTAAGAAGGTAAAAATGTAAATACTTTTACCAAATCACCGAAGTTTCACTTTGTACAACAATGATACTGGTATAATTACTTATTTTATCACTTTTAGATCACTAATGAAATACCACTCTAACGATATAATTTGTGATACCGATTGGGCAGCATTATCGCTAATACTTCTTGTTGACAGCCAAACAACAATACCATGATGCTTCGTGCAGCTTCATTTATATCCCCATGACACTTCGTTTAGTGTTGCCAACACTAATATAAATGCCTATTTATATGTATTTATTTTCTTCTTAGGGGCCACTAAACAGGTTATAATGTTAAAAATTAAATAATAAAAATGTTATCTATAGATATAGGTATCAGTTTAAATTATGTATTATATAATATTATTATTAATAAAATATCGATTTTTGCTTCATTATATTATAAGCTTAAACGTTGACATTTTACTGTATTAATTTACGAGTTGCAATCAAATGCGTGGCCTGTTGTTTAAGAGTTTATCACAATGGCAGCGTTTGCTGCAGTGAAATTTACTGCATCTCGGTTTTACATTGAGTGTATGGTGTGCAGGAAAGATCAAATATATACCACTATCTAAAAACCCTGCGTATCTTATTCTAATGAAGGGGGATAAAAAAAGTGTTGTTACTTTTTTAGAATCAGAACTAACCTGAGGATTGAAAAAATCTTTTATAATTATATTTAAATTCGTCACCTACCCTTTGTTAAGTGTTGTTTGTGAGAGCATATCTAGTTTTCAAAGTTAAAATTTATTTATCCAACATATCTTTAACAAAACGATCATTAATGTGGGCTAAAACAGAAATGAGGCCAAGATCGATCCCTGAGGAACACCCATTTGTATTGACCCCAATGACAATATACCATTTTTATAGTTACTCGTTGTACCCTATCGCTAAGATATGGGGAAACAAAGTCAATGGCAGATTTTCGAATACTATAATATTCCAGCAGTAGGAATATCTGTTGTCAATATTTATATTTTATAAAATAAATTAGGAATTAAAAAAATGGACAACGATATCAGAACTGAAGTCAAATGCCATTAACAATGTCATGCAAATAAATAGATTCTTCGCAATCCTTGAGTTACAATAATGATTTGTTGTGCAACAAAATAATGTGCTTTATAGTATGTAACTTCCTTTATGAGAAAGTAAAATTCATGATAGTAATCATGTTCAATATAGTAATTAGGCACATAACTCTCACTAAAAGAGCGGGTATGTTAAAAACACTACAAGTTTAAATATTATGTTTTGTACTGTATTAGTCTATCGCTTCAATTGATAAAATTATCGCTACAAATAAACCGTGAGATATTACTTATGTGTAGCCTATAAATATAGACAATAAAAGTGAAAAATCTCACTTTCTGTCAATGTTTTCCGCTCCTCGAAACATCCAGATTATTTCTTGTCACATTTTTCAAAGGTGTATTATTCTCCCGTAATGTATAACAGCATACATAATCTTCTTTCATGTTTGTCCTTTGTCAATATTTGAGCAGGGAAGGATCTGAAATTTGTGTTTGGACAGGACGTCTCCATTATCATACGTTTCATAATGTTTTGTCATATAATATGGTTTATTATATTTGCAACGCTTTTATTATGAAGTGAATTTGCCTTACATAATATTAAAATCGAGAGCGTCTCTTAAATTATCCGGAAACGCATTAGTGTATGTATATATGCATTTTTCTACATATATATGTAAACAGATTTATATTATAGTTTATAGTTTTCTTGAACGTTTCTTTCCAAAACAGCGTTATATAATTTCGCGCTGACATAGTTCAAATCAATAAATAAAAAGTTTTATCCCTCACCCGGTACATCAGGCGTCGTTGTTAACAAATGATAGTATCTTTAGTTACTGTCTATTGTTTATATACCTTTCCAACTGATATTTAGCATAAAGGTGGGTTTTCACTAAAAATTAGATTATCGATAACTTACACCTCGTCCATCTAGCATATGATTTTACTGTATAAACTCTGTACAAATGTTTGTTTTGGATCGTTCCTATCTCCTTTGCGTTAATGGACTTTGGATATAACTGCAACCATAAGTATATTAAATTAACGTCAACAAATTATGTTGACGTCGAAGATTGTCTTAAATTGCAAGATGATTATCATAACGTACCTTTTGTAATAGTAATAAATTTAAACTTAATATTGAAAAGTGTTCTACCATAGCCTCTTCTCGGAAAAAAATATCTTATTTGATTACAAGTTGTTTGCTACTTAATCTTCAAAAGAGTATTTGAAGTAGGCAATCTTAAAAATATTTTTGTGTATATTTTATAGCTGTATTTATCCCAATTAAAGAAATCAATAAAAAATATTTTCTGCTTATTAAATTTTTCAACATTGTAATGTCTTTAGACTTTCTGCGTTGACTACTTGAATCGGAAAAACAGACGGGTTAAGTTTTATATATTTATGGTTTAAAAAAAAATATTCTAATGTCTTGTTTTGCAAATTTAATTTATAGTACCGTACTTTAACTAAACTCACTCAACCTCACCGGAATGGAATCTAAGTGCACTGGTCTTTAATGCAAACGATATGTCAACCACGCTCACATATACACATATCTACTCCCTTTTGGTCTAACCAACGACTGTAGTTATATACAGTCAAAAGCTTTCTATACCAGAATGTTGAATAAATTTAAGTCAGCGCTTCGTGAACTGTTTGCGAATAAAATCACATTTTACAATAAAATGTAGACCGACATAATAATAGACGTTCAGTTTATCTTTAAATAGAAAATTTGTGTAGCTAATGAATATCATAGCAAAGTATATGTAATGAATCAAATACAAAAAATATTACA